GATGCTGCTTGGCCTGCTGTGTTCATCCAGCCCTGCACCTTGTTGTCCCCCATTCAAAGCGCTGGGCGAGGAGGCTGATCACCTGTCAATCACTGCAGGGCTCGGAGCCTCAGGCTGCAGCAGCTGTTGCTGCTGAAACAGCATGAGCATCGCGCCGAATATGAAGGGGAGCTTACAGACACATGGCCGTGCGGTGCTGCAGCCGGGCATGCGATTTTCACATTCCGCCAGAATGAACCCACGGGAATGCTATAATAAAAACGGAAAATGCTAGAAACACTCACCTGAAAGTAGCATTGTCACAGATGCACTCTGCCTTACATAGGGCAACATTCAGTGAAGGATCGTGTGCATTTTCAGTCTCTATAACAAACGGCTAATCGATGCGACAGAATTGATATCACGATGGTCGCATTTTTATCAACCGTAACACCCATGAAACGGGCGACACCGTTTTTATGTCGGTGTTTCACAAAGTGCACAAAAATATCACTGACAATTTTCGTGTACAAATACTGTCGACAACCTCCCATTAGGAAACGGTTGTAAGTTATTTAATGGCATATTAAAACTAGGAACTCCGGTATCGTCGTGTCGAGACCCCACAATCATGCACGGTATTAAATCGCACACAACATCATTTCTACAACTTCACAGCAAAACACAGAAACTCCCAAATAAGTACTAAACGATCCCATCACCCATTTTCACTAAAAGCGTCATGAAAATGCTCCTAAAATGCATTAACAATGCAATGCAAATTACACAAACATTTCACATAGATCACTAAATGTCGGGTAATTCTTTTGAACTTCCAGATAGAGTATGAAAATGACTCATTGGTTTGCCGAGGTTTAGTGAGAAAACAGGCATCTCACCTCAGCATAAAAATGCAACTGGCCCGAACCGCAGTCATTATCCGTTTTGTCTTACGTACTCGTTAACCTTCAATCACTGTCTGGACTGATTTAATCAAAATCGAAGCAACGATTTTAATACGTTGAGAATCAAAACACGTAAGTTGCGAGTGTTTTACACACGATTTTAACGCAAGTTGTCTTTCTCCAAAACTATTATTCAACATTAGCATCGGCAGTTAAATTTATCTCGATACTGGCAATGAACTTTCAAGAAATGAAACCAGCTAAATATTTATACACTGGAAAATAAGTCAATCAATGTTCAAAATACCGCCAATTTCGATAAATACATCCAGTGGATATGTTCATTATAAAGTGAATTCTGAAACTCCAAGCTGACATTAGCGCCCTCGCGTTTTGTTAACTGGAGCACGTGAGATTACACTAATAAAAAGCCAATGTGTAGGTGAAATAACCATTGCCGGTTTTTATTGAGTAGTTTTCCCATTTGCGCGATACAGCAATCTCAGGTTTACCATATATATCAACACGAGTTAAAAATGACTCACCATGCAAGTATCGCATCCGTATACTCCACAATAAGTGTATCTAATTCCTCTGCATCTGTAGGTAGAACTTGACAGAATTTTTGAATCAATAAATTCAATTTATCTAAAACGGACTAGATTAAGGCGCCAGAGACGGACGCGCTCGAACAAACCCTCATATTCGACCCATTTTAAGAAACCAAACTGGAACTATCAATTAATCCGACTAATAAAGTGGCCGCCCAGTTTCTGCAATTTGTTGGAAAGTACGTACGTCATTGTGGTATTTTAACCCGAGTTCATAAAGCCTCACTTATGCGATCTCTATGATATTCCACTTCCTTCCTGCAGAAGTGGCTAATAGCTGCATATCCAAGGCGATACGGCGCGTGAACACCGTATATACATAATAAGTAGCACTTTCCTCTCTCACGGTTTTCTTTAAACTAGCCCCATGGCGTTTCTCTTAACTTTGTTGTGCGCAGCACGTTAACTCGTGGCTTGGGAAGCATTGCATTTTATTCAGAATACGCATATCTGTATTCGAGTTCTTCCGGAGCGACAGAAATTTCCTGTGAGCAAGAGAAAATAGGTTTGAAAGAAAAAGGAAAGGCAGAAAATGTAGTTACAAAGTTAATTCGTAGGGTTAGGTGGGGTATAGAACCAGAGCACGACGAAGATGTTTTAAAGTTAGTTTTGGTCAGTACCAGCTAGCAGCGAATAACTAATGAAAGGTAAAAAGCCTTTAGACGAGACGAAAGTCAATGTTTCTAAGTGCCCTGAATAGTAGGACGTAGGAAAGGTTGCATTGGAAGGATTGTATCCACAATATGCAGAATATATACATTAATTCAGTTTAAGGTGCGATTAAAAATAACTACAAAGCAGAGACAAATAGGTGTCAATTTTCCATCTAGGTCACGTTTCCGCAGTCATTCTTAAGGGAGACGGTGTTGTGTCAGTCCTCCCCACCAAAGAAAAAGAGAAATGCGTGTAAAGTTAGGAGAGGAAACCAAGACGAGAAGGTAAAATCTTGAGGGACACAATGTCTTAACCTTATTGCTTAGTAAACGGGCTTCACATCTATCGAGGTAGAACCTTAAGCATTTGTGGCTAATGTTCTGCAAACTGTTTTATGTCATTATTCAAACGTTGAGAATAAATACAATTTTTGACACTTTATGACGAAAATAACGATGCCTTTACACTGCAGCCTTGAGAGGGTTCATTTCAGAGCAGCTGTTTGGAAACCAGGACCTAGACTTCCAAGTGAGTAATATTTTCTCAAATTATTTGGACACTTAGAAATGAATTTGTTTAAATTGGATAAAAATGGAATCAGTGGGATCCTGTTCAAAACGGTGATAGGTGTATGTACCTAATTTGAATTAGGCTGCTCGTGACAAATTTGAGACAACAGAACTTGCATGTAAAACTGAAGATTAGACATAGATTAGGAAAGTAAGTGCAATGCTAAAACAATTATTGCTATGTTGACATCTTTGCAAAATAGCTGTATAGGTATGGAGTTAGGGGTTAAATTAACATAAGCATTTATCAATAGCTATGATAAAATATTTTGCACAACATGATCATTCCTCAGATACTGAAATGATGGAATTGAAATCAACTAATCAATGATAAATGATCTCACAATAGAGTTGGATTTGCCTTATGCCTTGGAATGTGGGAACAGTGACAACATACACAGAATCTTTCATCAGGAAGTTAAGCAAGTTCAGTAATTGAGCTGAATACATGATATGGTTAAATATACCAAATACTTGTATTCACTGCAACAACTTATACTTAGATGGAGGCTTTAAAATAGTCAAGCAGGGCAATCGGTACTGAGTGAGAAGACCGTCCGGTAAGGTAATAAAGGGCATATTAACCAGCTAGATTTTGAGTAGGCTTCTAACAATGAGGAGATATTTAACAATATTGGAGGGATTTAGCAAGAGAATGGCAGGAGTGTAGAGCTATGAGAATGAATTAACAGGAAAAGGGACACAGAGTTCCAGACTCAGAAGAACAGAAGGATGTTGCAGAAGTAGCATAGAGAAAGTCAGTGGATAGCTTCAATAAATTATTTATGCTTTTTATTCTGGTGGTAAAAGTCATTCCTCAGCTATGAAGGTGGGGAGGTAAACTTCTCCTAGCGCCCTCCGTCTGTAATACTGTCTGATGCTCCTTCATCGTGATGCCATCTGGGTGTCTCAGCACAAGAACATAAGAAGTAGGACAAGAGTTGGATAAATAGCTCCTTAAAGCTGCTCAACTATTCAGTAACATGCTGAGGGCCTTCTGCCTCAACTAAACTTGGCCATTTCTGGTCTTATATTTTTTCTCTTAAATAAATTCAGGCCTTTCCATACATAGAATAATGGATTGTATATTGTATGTATATTTTTCCTTTGTACATGTCACATTCATTGTCCTACCATTGCCAGCAATTCATCACATTGTAAACAGAGACATACAGAAAGCTGTGTTTCGTGTCCTCACAAATATAATCATGTCATTGAAGACTGCTTTCGCTCTAAACTGATTTTCAACTATAATTCAAAATAAAAACTGCAGGGTAGTGCAGTGTACCGCAAGTTTCTGAGTCAACACTTATACTACTTTTTACCCTTTATGTCAACAATTCCTCCACAATGAAATTAAGATTCTAGCCTCATTTTCAAGACAAATTTGCCACTTGTTCACATCAATTGCTCACTGCTAGCAGAAACTCCTAAGGCAACAAATGTTGAAAAACAGGGATTATCCAAACGAGAATGTAGGCTGGCCTTTCAGCCAGTGCTATTAAATACATAGTCTTTCCTTTCAGCAAAATATTAACATAAAAAATTGATGAAAATGCTGCACAAAGTCACCCTATCCCAACAATATGATCTCCTAATGCACGCTAAGTAACATTTCAAATTTGCAGTTTCTAAAATTTACTTTACAAGAAGTGGCTATAGAGACCCATCAGCATTGAAGTTGTCAGCATTATAAGTGAGACAGTTGTGGAGAAAGTCAATAGAAACGTCAATGTTATCACTAATAGCCAGACTTTAAGAATAGATGAGGGTTTGAGTGGGCTCAGGGGTGAGAGAAGATTACTTTTTTCCAGCGGAAGTAAATAGCAAAGGAGAGGTAAAAAGTTTGGTTTTGAGACATTGTGAAGGAGCCAGAGAAATGTGCACTAGTCCTAGGTGAAATTTCACAACACCTATAAGTATGGGACGGTATGAAATGTGAACCAAGAGAGTTTTTCTCGAATGGAAGGAAAAAATCAACAGCAGTGTGCCAGATTTCAGTCAAGCCCAGAATGTTAATTTACTCCTCCAGGATAAGGATATGAACAGGGAGTCTTGTTCACAAATGAGCAAATATTTTGCAGGCTGTTGTAAAGTGCAAGCATGTTTAGACATTCAATTGACAAGTAGAGTTGGAGGATAAAGACAAAGGTAGACTCACTGGGGAGCTCATATGGTGAATAGGCTACACAGGGAGGAAGCTTTAGATTATTGCCAGAGGAATAAAGTGAGTTTAGGAAGTGTTAGGATAGACAAGTGAGATGAATAAAGAAAATGATGTGCAGCTTAAAATTTCCATAACTGTCAACCTCTTGTCCAAGACTTGTGGTATGCTAAATAACAGTCTGCTTTGCTCTCAATTACAATTAATATTAAGCCAAATTGCTAATATTAGCACAAATACATCACTAGGTAAACAGACATTTAATTTCAATTAATCTCACTTTGGAATTCTGTTTTGGTCTTCCTATATCATATATTTCAAAGGATAACGTCTGACCTTTTACAGTTAAACACTTTAATATTCTGTACAAGTTCATTTAGCTTGCTATTAGTGAAGGGGCAATTATTAGCCACAGTAAAAGTACTCAGAATGAAAAAGTAATTCAAAATTAGAGTCCGTTAAAAACAAAGTATTAGGCTAGTTTAGCCAAATGGCAGTACCCTTAACCGAAGGAGAAGTTCACAGGCTCAATTCCCAATGCTTGAATTTAAACAAATTAAATAGGCAGGCACTTCAGCATTATACTGAGGGAGGGCAGCATTGTCAGACCTTTTCATCTTTCAGATGTCTACCTTTTCAGATGAACACTATTTTAAACTATTACCAAAGGGTTCGCCTGATGTCCTGACCAACATTTATGCCTTAACCAACACCACCACAATAGATGAATTCCTCTTTTTGTATTGTTGATTTTGTACAAATTGACTACTGTGTTTGCTGACGTAACTATGAACACAATCAAAGTAATTCATTGGCTGTGAAGCACTTTCAGACAACCTTTAGACATGAGTAGTACTTTGTGCATGTTTTTTGTTTTAAATGTAATCTATTTTTCTAAACAACCTGTTCAGAGATGCTATTACACACTTCTGGAGCAGAGGGGACTTGATCCAGGGCCTCCCAGTCCAGGGGTAGAGATACCACTGCTATACCATAAGCAGATTATGTATGTTATGTACCATCAAAAACCTAATTTAGACTTCAGATACAAAATGTGAAAATTGCTACATGCAGATATGATGGTAAGTGCAATTCAACATCAATGTGTGAAGTGATACATTTTGTTTTAAAATTAGCAGTGACTATATCAAGTATGCTCAGTGTTCTGGAAGAAATGAAGTATTTGGGCAATAAGCTTACAGTTTATTAAAATAAATAAACAAGGTTAATAAGGAATTAAAAATTGAAGAGAATTCTAGATTTGATCATGAGATGTAAAATTTAAATACTATGTGGTAATGAAAAGTTATATAAAACATTCAGAGAATTGTGGGTAGCATTGCACTGCACACTATATAAACAATATTAAAGCTTTAGGGGGTGAAACTCAGATTCCCTAGGGTTATTTCTGGTATGAGCAAATAAAACTGTGAATACAGACCTGAACAACTGTACCATTTACATTAGAGCAGCACAGATTATAGGATGATATAGTAGTGCTTAAAATTATGAAAGAATAGAACAAGGTCCTGAGAGACTCTTTTCAATACCTGTGGGTGTGGAGTTTGCCATGAACTAAAGATCTTGATCTTTAAATCTTTAAATTCAACTTCTACCTTGGGAGTTTGAGAATTTAAGTTTTATATTAAAGGGTCTGGAAGTAAAGAGCTGGTACCAAAAGTGACCATGAAACTGCCAGATAGTTGTAAAAAAAAGCAAGCTAATGTCCTTCTGGAATGGATTCCTGCCTCCCTTATCCAG